CCTTATTGACTTATATTTATTCCTTCATTAATAAAAATATCTTAATAATGTGAATAAAAAAAAAAGGTTTTGGCAAATGATGTTGATAAGCTAGTTAGCGTTGTGGTCGTTTAACATTTAACGTTTTGGATAGTAAAAGCTGACAGAATATTCTGGAAGTTTGCCAAACAAAGGGCCTGTTGAACGAGTCTTGTTACCATTAAACGTTTACTTTATGTTTTAATTAAAGACATAGACAAGCAAAATCCGCTTCCGATTTATACGATGAAAATTATTATATAACTAGCAATCGCCCGCGATTCCGTCGGCACGGAATTAAAAAAAAAACATAATTGGTAGCCTATGTGTTCTTCCAAACTATGTTCTATATGTTTGCCGAATTTCTTCGAAATTCGTCCAGCCGTTCTCTAGAATTCATATTTCATTGGATGGATGTTTGTTTGAAGGTCTCTAGACCTTCAAACAAACATCCATCCAACCATCTGTATTAACATACGCATTCAGCAAAAAATAGGCTAGACAACGATGTTAATTTACAGATATTTTATGTTAGACAACCTTTTAAAAAATCGAAATAAAAGTAATCTTACTAATATTATAAATGCGAAAGTTTTGATGGACGGATTTGGATGACTGTTTGTTATAAAGTCTCTTCGAAACGCCTCAATGGCTATATTTACTAATATAGGCTACTTATTTAGTCTTTTAATTAAAATAATAATAATTTAAGAATAAAATTTAAAAATAGCTAACAACGTTGACGATCTACCTACAACATGGCTATACATTAACGCCCTCGCCCAGAGAGCCAGCCTACGTAATCGTCCATGCGGAAATATTCTCCTTATACGTAACAATTGTCAACATAAGTGATTTGTCGCTAATTTTAATAAATTGTTGATTTCCTGTAATATTACTAGTGTTCCGAAGAATTGTTTGGAACGACTCCTGCCGCTGAGTTGCGTCATCGGACGACAAGACAGACCGTCAGCTTCCATCCTCACCTGGATGACTGGTATTCCACAACGGTGCGATTCTCGCACAACTTCTTCTTCTTCTGCTTCTTCTTCTTCTTCTGCTTCTTCTTCTGCTTCTTCTTCTGCTTCTTCTTCTGCTTCTTCTTCTGCTTCTTCTTCTGCTTCTTCTTCTGCTTCTTCGTCTGCTTCTTCTTCTGCTTCTTCTTCTGCTTCTTC